GTAAAAGCCAACGTGGAAATGCACACAGGCTTGAGCAGTGGGAGATATATCATGGCTCTCCTCGTACAGCAAAGGGGCGACTGCAGATTTTTCTGCCTGTTCAACCTACCAGCCTCTCCCAGCATAATTTTCAGCCACTTCTCAAAGCTTCACAGCCAGGCCACACTCAAATCTGCATTCATGCATTAAATATTACCAAAACAACATATCCACACTGGCCTAAGGCTTGAGGAGTGCAAGCACAATTATGCTTTGCTTTTCCATAAGGGGAAAGTCCAGCAAAGGACATTGCAGGGCATTACACCACAAGAATCCATTTGAGAAGATGCTGCATTGAGAAGGAAAGAGGAGCCCTCGTTCAAGCACAGCACTGCTTTTCATTTGGGTTTACCTCTTTACTTCAGTGACTCCCACCCATGACACCTGTACAGCCAGTAAAGATTTACCCCAAGGAAAACACCCCTCACCAACCCAATCGCCCCCAAAGCAATTCCCCACACCACCACAGAAACTGGTGGGGGACTGGTGGTGAAGCGCTAAACAAGAAGCATTAAAACTTTTGTTTTCATTGGAGAAACTGCCAAATGACAGCAGTTTCAGGTTACACCCTAAACCTGCCTTGCTATGGTAGTTTTTCAAATTAAAATATCTTCTGTGGCCTTAGCCACTCTCAAGCCATCCATAGGCAAGAAAGAAAGGAGGCAGGGCGACACTTAAGCTCAGCCATAATTGGAAGTATGTGAAAAATGAAGTGTCAGTTCGGTCAATAAAGGGCAAAGGTGAAGGGGAACTGCAGCCCAAACTCGGTGCGAAATGTGCTCATTAAGACACCCAATCCGAGGGCTCCTGCCCACCTATCCCATTAGTCATCGGCCATCTGACCGCTTCAAATGCCTCCCCGCTCTTATTACTTTTCTTCTCCCATGTTTAAAAAAAAAAAAGGGAAAAAAAAAGAAAAAAAAAAAAGGCGAGCTGGTATATAAATCCTTGCTCAGTCATCTGGAACATAATGTGGCCCTTCTCTCCCCCTCTTCCCGGCTCTGCTGCCTGCCTTTGCAGCCTCCAAACAACCGCCTGGAGATTCCCAGCAATAATAAACCCGATTGCCTTTTTGCCTATAGGTTGCTCAAACTCCTACAAAACCTTGAAAAAAAAAAATAAACCATTGCAGCCATTGATACATTTTTATAAAGAAATATCGCTGCTTTCTACTCCTGGCTTGAAGGAGCAAGAATTATTTGGAGGTTAAAAAAATGCTTTGAATGCAGGCTGAGGCTTGGGGAAAAAAAAAAAAGAGAGAGAAACAATACACACAAATAAGGTGACACTGATGGATTATTTTTCTTTTTCTTTTAAGCTGTGTAGGAGAGCTAAACATGGGAAATAAAGAACTCCACTCTGGATTAAAAGTGACTGTACCAAGGCTTTGTTCAGCATCTTCCTGGTCTCACTATTTGAAAAACAAACAAAGCAGATCTCTCAATATCCCAAACAGGAATCTTTTGAAGTTACAAGACAAAGTAAGATAAAATAGTGCTGCCATGAGCTCAGCATCACCTGCCTGTACATAAGAATTTGCTCCTCTTCTTTTAAATAGAATTTAGTGAATTATTTCTCCACTATGTAAATTCAGATCTCTTACCACCATTTGGTGACAGACCTCCAAAGGCCTTTCCCATTAAGTTCAGAGCAATGGGAAAACTTTTTCATAATATTATTCTGCATTCCTGTACTACAACTATCCCCTATGATGACACAATACCAGGCCTTTAGAAGAGGTTGTGTCAACGTACTATGCAATAACATATCCTGCTGTTCAGTGGCACGAGACCTCAGAACAGGTCCCTAGCAGTTAAATATGGATTTCTGCAATAGATCGAAGCAGCTGGGAGTTATTACTATTTACTAAGTAAATAAATTTACACACTGAAGAAGATTTTAAAATGTTTACATTAAAGACCATCTCTCCTGATTTCAAAGGCAATAATTTGATGGGTGTTTTACACTGGGATATAAACAGGTTAGAAATACACTTTGCAAGATTTGTAATGAATAAGGTAATGAAGAAAAATCTCCAAAAAGTCCAAAAATAGACCTTAACACACTCTGGGTTAAGGACTAAGAAGAAAAGTCTTGCTAAAGGTTTAGCTTTCCAGTCTGTAGTGCCTCTCTGAAAATGCAAAGCTTACATTTACACCTTTATGATACTTTCAGCCAGGTTGCAAACCTGGCCCAGAAGGTGCTTTTACCTATCCCAGCGAGGGAAGTAGGTTGTGAGAACAACCTGAAACCGGACAGTTTTAGAGGGTTTTATTTCTGGTGATCAGATTTGCTTCTTTTTTTTTTTTTTTTTTCCTTTTTCTGGTGATCAGATTTGCTTCTTTTTTTTTTTTTCTTTCCTTTTTCTTTTTTAAATGGCAAACGTGATCTTGACAGATGGAAGGAACCAAAAGGAACTTTTACAAACTCCTAAAAATAGGGAAGCCCATAATATACTGAATATATGTCATGCAACGCATGCATTTCGAGTTAACTCCTATGCTTGCAAGCACGAGCATGTGGGTCCCCAGCCTTTTGCTGCCACCCCTCCACAGCACCTGGCTGCTATGGCAGTGCCATGCTGGCTCCTTCTGCTGCCAAGAAAAGCACCCAGCAGTGGTGAACACAGGGGTTTAACCACAGTGTTGCACTCCTAACATCAGGCCACAGAAGAAAAAGCCACCAAATCACAGCAACTGGAAATTAAATGCAGTTGGGGAGAGGCAGGATATTTGCTATCTTTTAATTCTCTTCCATTTCAGTCTTTCAGGGTTCTATTTTTTGACTTCTTCCCCATAGGGAAAGGGTTTTTGGAGGGTTTTTTAGGTTTTTTTTCAGAAGGTATTCATGCAGGCATGGATTTGCTTAAACAAATGAGCTTCTACCACAATCTCAACCTTCAGAGCATTTCATGTAAACAAGACATAAAGCAAGGCTCAGCAAGACAATGCTACCATTACCATATTCCTGTTCCTCAAAAACAATGCCATTCCCAAAGGTGGCAAGTGGCCCAAAGGCAAGTCTTGGTAACAGAGACTCCTAGGACAGGATCTCTTTTCCAAAATTCCTTTCCTAAATTTGACATGAGAGCTCCAGTTATCAAATTCCCACTTTTGTTACTCTTCTCCAAAGTTTTAATGCACTGAGCCTTCTTTTCACAAAACAGTTCTCCATCAAGCACTGGCAGCAATCCCAGCCCAAATAAACCACTGGGGTTTGGGTAACAGTTTCAGAACTGACTAAAACATCACTGACAAGTTCCTTCTGTGGATACTTCATAGGACTCAGGCTTGAAACTCACTTTAGAAAACCCTTCCTGACTGAGGCTGCAGTATGCACCTTGCTAGGAACTTATTGCAGGGTGGCAATAGACATCAGATATGACAAGCCCTCCAGACTACTAAAAATGCCACATTTAGGAGAAAATAAAGTCTGAAAATCTTTAAAAGTACACCAGGAACTAAGCTCAATTTCCAGCGTGGTCTAGGAGCATTCTGGCAAGCCTCCCCACAGATGTTTTGTCCACGCACATATCCACATAAACACACGCACATCCGTCTAATAAAAGAACAGCTCTAAATGAATACAAAAACCCTCTCAAAACACCACATTTTAGTTCAAAGCTTATTTTTGAAGCAGCTTTTTCAGCCTTAAAAAAAACCCCATGGATTTAAAGTTTGCTCCAAAAGCAAGGGGCTCTAATGAACAAGTTGACACCACTTCAACTATAGCATTGTGAACAGCACCACTAGAATATATATGTATACATACTTGAAAGAAAAAAGGCCCCCTGAATTTATGTTGCATATCATTTTCCAGTAAAAGTCAGAGGTCAGAAGGTTACCAGTGTCTGCCTCAACTCTGCAACAGTTTACTATTCCAGGCCCCATTTTTACTAGGCTACACTTGCGATGAAGTCAGCAACTTTGTTTAAACAATAACGAGTCTCAAATACTTAAAATTCTATAAGGAGATGTTATTCACCATGTACGTTAAATCCATGCATATAAAAAATTAAAATATACTGGTTTAGTTTAAAAACTAATCTTGTTAAACGCAGACTTTGCAATGCTAATCAGTACTGTTCAACCTTTTTTTGGAAACACAATTCCTTTGTTGTCTAACAGCACTTGAATGAAACATGATCATAAAACCAGATTTAAAAGTATATACCTATTGTGAGTTCAGAGTCAACTTCAATAAAGCACACTCTTTTATATTCAGATTAAGGATCCTTTTTAAATTTTAATTGCATTAAATTAACACTAAATCCACTGCAGTTGGTCTCTTCAGAAAAAAATATGCTTTCAGCTTCTCAGGAAAAAAAATACAGAGATTCAGCTTTTTAGTTTTCAGAGTCTCTGAGACAGCACTGATTATTTGTAGAATGCCCCACTTCCATTGCACCAAGCTCATCTCATACTCGCCCTGCTAAATCAGCTACTCTGACCTGGCACTCAGACAGAAAGTTCTTGCATTCAAGTAAATTGGAACTGAGTATCAAAAAGCAAGTAAAAGCACGGCTCAGGATTTTGTAAAACAGTCCAGCTAACATCTCTTATTTATATGCAATCAAGTTTTGATGGCATCTCTGAAATATTAGCATGCATTTCTGCAATCTTAATTACATTTGGTTTTGAAGATTTCATCTTTTAACCCATTTGAATGAAGAAAAAACCCCAAACTTCTCATTTCTTATTTTTATTAAGCACACTGCAAATTTGGTACATATGTTGCTCTAACATGTGCCTGCTGGCAGGGTTAAAGAAATAAAGATGCCAATCCCTTTACTAGGAGGAGATGGAGAAAAAAAAAAGTCAAAAAAAAAAGGAAGATAGACCTTTCTCAGCATAAACCCTGTGGTACTCGAGCATATTTCCACACCAGAAAGAGAGTAACCAGACCCTGAGCACGCTGGTGACCACTAGCCAGCTAGGAAAGTGTGAGGGCTCAGTTCCTACCTTGCTCACTGCTGTTGTCCCCGCTGTGTGATGTGTGTCCTCCACTGGAGGGTCCGGGGGTTCCCCCGGAGCGCGTTGATGCCGTGTCATCATGGTCTCTGTTCCAGGAGGG